CACGACCATGCGGGTTCCAACCTGATGAGGCCGATTGCGCATTGGGCTATAATTCTGCCCCCTGCTGAGCACACCAACGGGCCCAATCAGCATCTGACTAGCCCCTATCGGCGTCGCCATCCCGGGGAACATCTCCGCGCCCCCCCCTCCTACCCAAGGGCCCTGGCCTTCTTTTTGCCGGGGATCTCCAAGGATTTCGCCCCCTGGCGGCTGAGCGTCTGCTTCGCTTTCCATGGCAGCGCCCGGCGCGAGAGGGCGGGGGGCGGGAGAAACGGGAGAAACAAATGTCACCCGAAATGCGAGTGACAAGGAGAGCCTGCCTGATTCTCCCCGGGGTCGGAGCCACGCAGGCTCCGCTACCGCTCTTGAATGCCCCACAGTAGCTGCGTGGACTACAGACAAACACGATGTGCATATAGAGGAACCCGAGCTGAGAAAGAGCGCCCTATTTTTCCCTCTACGGGGGCTCGCGCGCGCCCGCCGCCGGCGCGCCACGCAGCTCAAGGGCCCTGCGATCCGAGACGGCCGCGGGGCGAGGAGGTGGGAGAGAGGCGCAGGAGGCAGGAAGGCTGAAATATAACAACCACAGAGGAGAAGGAGGAACAATGAAGCAGGACAGAGAAAGTAGGATGAAGGGGAGGAGGAAAAGGAAAAACTGATTTGTTTGTCGCGCGCCCACCCGCCACCAGGACCCCACCCAAGGATCACGGGCGAGCTGCCGCTGCCCCCTCGGCGCACCAGCAATTGAGCGCTAAGTTGAAGCACCGCCGAAGGCAACGGGGGGTCAAGGACGGCCCCGAACCTATGCCACCGCTGGGTGAGAACGCGCAGCGCCACCACCGCGAGGGGCCCTTTTTGGGGGGACCAGGCTCGCCGCGAGGTAAATGTCACTGGCGCCTAAAATGCCCAGAAGCCGACGTGGCACCGCAGCCGGGGCGGCTGGCTGCGCACTGGGGGGTCGATGGCGATGCACCGGCCTCCACCTGGCGCAGCGCGACTTCCGAAGCGTCGACGAACCCAAACCCGAACCTCGACTTGTCCTGGAGCTCCGACCTGAAGTGGCCCAAAAACTTGCCGAACCCGTAGACTAGCACCTCGTAGCTGCCTTGCCCAGAGAACGCAGTAGGCACTCCCGTGCAAATAATCAGCGACCCCCCCATGGCTGCTCGCACCAGGCACCCCAAGGGAAACGAACCCCCGAGCGTCGAGGACCGCACCCCGCAGAATGAAGAAGGTCATCATGAGGATGAACCAGACCACCAACCAAAGCAAATAGCTCATCGCATCTTCACACACCGTCATCCACGGGGCCACCAAGACAGGGATATCCGCAGGAACTGCAAGAATACCACCGCGATCACAGAAAACAACATGATGAACACAACTTTGCTCCACCCGAAGAAGATCGGTATGGCGCGCATGTTCTTCAAGACGATGTGCGCCATCACGATCCGCAGAAAGTTGCTGAACACCTTCGCGATCACGAGGCTTGCCCTGCAAACCACTAGTCTCGTTAGTCAAGATACCCACGATCGACTCTTGTTCCCACGGGTGGCGGAAGTCCACGGCGGATGCATTGACCGCGATGGGCTGGACAGTAGACAGACCGTCACCGCCGTAGGTCCGCGGCTTCCTGGAGGAATCCCCGAAAACTCCGTAGGGGCCGCCATCGCGCGCAACAGCAGCTCCAGCACCCGACGGGCCCAGAACAGCGAGCGCGCCGACGCCGCCGATCAGGGGCGCTGCGTCCGTCATCTTCTCCGCCGCCATGACCCCCACAACCATAAGACGAAGCCAGGTGGAGGACGCAACCGGGCGAGGACAAGTCGAAAATCTCTGATATCCAAAACGGCCCTGGAAGATGTCTCGGGCGCCGCGGCCCCGGAACGCTCTGGAACGAAGGTGCCCTCGCCCCAGCCCCGCCCGATCCTCGCCGTCTCCGCTCCGCGCGCCTGAGGCCCTGGCCCTCGGCAGCTGAGGCCGCCCAGGACCGCGCCTCGCCGCCTCGCGCACGGGGCGGCCTCGCCCTGTCTGAACCTCGACGCGGAGGACCACGAAGCCCTCCGCCAGCAACCAGCGCTGGCCGGATGCGGACCTCGGGCGCCTGCGTGCCAGAGTGCCCCGACGTCCTCGGTCGACCGTCTCGCGCACGGGGGCAAGATCCATCCTGGCCGCGAGCTGCGCGATCATGGGAGCCTGCGCGTGCACGCCGCATGGTCCACTATGAGCTTGCACCTGAGCGACGATCCAAATCGGGTCCTTCGCGAGATGGCACAGCGACCTTACGCGGCGGCTCGCGCGGACTGCCAGCGCAGCGCGCTGCATTGGAATCGGAGGCGCCTGCCCCCGACCTCACGCGGGCAGCTTACGGGCGAGGGTCGGCGCAGGCGACCCCGCCTTTCTGCGTCGCTCACTTGACCTTGTCATCCGAAGCCGCCGTCGACACCGAAAAGATCGACCGATGCAACACAGCCTACGTCAAGAGCCACTGTAGCCACCCACGGGCCGCCATGGCAGAGGCGCGCGCGCGCGGGCAGGAGGGGAAGGGAAGAAGGCAGGTGCGCTCGGGAGGCGCAACGGCAAGCGAATGCTCGATCCAGGGAGCCAGGGAGAAAAGAAAGGGGCGGAAGAGAAGCAGGATAAGAAGGAGGAGGAGGAGGAGGAGGACGACAAGGGGCAGGAGGAGAGAAGGAATAGGGGAAGGAGGATAAGAGCGAGGAGAGCGAGGAAGATAACAAAGAGGGGAAGCGACGGGAGGGGGAGGGAGAGGAGGAGGAGGAGGAGGGGGAGGAGGATGAGAAGGAGGAGGAGGAGGAGGAGGAGGAGGAGACGCAGTATATGGTGGAGAAAACAACAGAGATGGAGATGATCAACAGAATACACCTTACGCGATGAGACCAGTGAGATGAGGAGGGGGAGACAACAGAAAGAGGAACCTGATGAAGGAAGGGAGACGTGGAATGCCATGTCAAGAAGAAACAACACATGTCAGACACAACGAGCTCCACTCTGCAACATGTCGGACGCACCGAGCTCCACCCTTCGCATAGTCGACACGTGCGGTAGCGTGTGAACGAGATGAGGGATACCGGAGAGGAGGAGGAATAATAATTCGCCGGCCCAACGGGCCAGAGGCGTGCTAAGATCTCCGGTAACTGGTTAACAATTGTATTGTACTAGTTCGCGCGCGCGGGGCGGCCCCTGGGGGTCCCCCGGCGAAAAGTACCCCGCCCGCCGCCTGGCAAGGTCCCGCCCGGTTCAACTCAGAGATGGTTTTCCTTCTGGGTGCGGCCTCTCAGGCCGCCCTGAGCGCGCCAAGAGTGCCCCAAGAGGCCCCCAAGACTGCCCAAGAGGCCCCCGAGACGCCCAAAGAGCGCTCGAAGACGCCGAAGATGACCCCAAGACGGCCCAAAAGGCCCCCAAGACAGCCCAAGAGGCCTCCAAGACGCCCCAAGAGCCTTCCAAGAGGCCTCCGAAGAGAGCCCCAAGAGGCCAAAATCGTTGATTTTCATTGTTTTTTTCGATGTTTTTTGTGTTCTGGCTTTTTCGGCTTCCGGACGCTCCAAGACGGCCCAAGAGGCCCCCAAGACCGCTCCAAGACGGCCCACGAGGCTCCCAAGACGGCCCCGGAACGGCCCAGGAGGGCCCCCAAGACGGCCCAAGTGCCGCCCAAGACGGACCAAGAGGCCCCAAGACGGGCCCAAGAGGGGCTCAAGAGGGGAACCGAGAACTGAAAAATCGAGCCCTCCGCCCCAGAAGGCGCCCAGGAGGCCCCAAAAAGGCCCCAAGAGGCCCCCAAGAGGCCCCCAAGACGCCCCAAGAGGCGCCCAAGAGGCCCAAAAGAGGCCCCAAGAGGCCCCAAAACGGCCCCCAAAACTCGGCTAGCCCACAACGGTGCGACAATATGGGCCGGCGGAATGAGCGAAGCGATTAAATAACAATAGTAAGAGGAATAGGAGGATAAGTATCCCAGTGCGACCCTACCTAGGAGTTGGAGCATCTAGGAAAGCAACATATACATCTACACCGACAGCTACATTAACATCTACACCTGCATCTACATCTATATCAACATCAACAGCGATATTCACATCTACATCTACATCTACACCTACATATACACCCACGTCTACATCTACATCTATACCTGCATCTACATCTACAATTTCGCATTGGTTTTGTTTTTGTTTTGCATTGCCTTGCCTTTGATTTTGCTTTGTCTTTTCATGTGCTTTGCTTTTGCGTGTGCTTTGCTTTGCTTTGCTTTGCGTTGCTTGTGCATTGCTTTGCTGTCGCTGATGTTGTTTTGCCTTTGCTTTGCTGATATGCTATGCTATGCTATGCTCTGCTATGCTGCGCTGTGCCATGCTGTGCTGTGTTGTGCTGCGCTATGCTATGCTATGTTATGCTATGCTGAGCTATGCTGTGATATGTTGTGCTGCGCTATGCTATGCTACGCTATGCTATGATATGATGTGATCTGCTATGCTAAAGCTCAGCGAGGCTAAGATGAAGGTAAGCTAAGCTAAGATAAACCTGAACTAACATGAAGCTAAGCTAAGCTAAGCTAAGATGAAACAAGCTAAGCGATGATGAGATAAGCAACGCTAAGCTAAGGGGACGCAAAGGGGGGAACCGAGGGGCGGATTCTGGGGGAATCGCCCAGGGCGAGGAACACTGCCCGGCCCTTTAAGCCCAGAGAGTAAAAACCCTTCTAGGCAGAGCCTAGGTAGGGAATCATATAAGAAGGACGAGGAGCAGGACGACGACGACGACGAAGACGAGCGCGAGGAGGGCAGGGAGGAGGCAGCCTAGTCTGGGCACAGCATCATCCCTGCAAGAAAAACAACTGCACCGAGGCACGAGGATGAGGAGGAGGAGAAGGGAGCAGGGCGGGCAGGCAGAGATGGAGAAGCAGGCGCAGCAGTAGGAGTGGCATGAGGTGCAGGAGGGCAGGGACGGGGAAGAAAGCCAGCGAGGTTCTGCCCCCCCCCCAACTCCTCGCAGCCGTCTACGGTGACATCGCAGGTGGGAGCTGGGACGGTGGACCCCCCCTTTGCAGAGCTGGGAACTCTCTATGCACTGGAATGCTCCCTCCTCTTCCTCCTCCTCCTCGGTCGCCTCCTCGCCGCCTCCTCCATATCCTCCTCCTCTGCCTCCTCGTCCTCCTCCTTCTCCTTTTCCTCTCCTGCATATCCTCCTCCTCCTTTTCATATTCCTCCTCCTCTTCCTCTTCCCCCCACCAGGGAGAGATGCGGAGGAGGAAATGAAGGGAAGGAGCACGCCACTGCCTAGATGGTCCCACCCCACCTTGGGCACGAGACGCCCCGTGGCGTAGTCAAAGTTCTGATACCGCTGGCTGCCCAGTATCCGAAGCTTCAGAGTGCACGCAGTCACCTCTGGGTCCGCCTCCGGGATGCGCCAATCGATCCTGCGGTTGGCTGGGGAAGACCATGGCGAATAACAGTGTTGCTGCAGGAGGGAGAGGGCGACATGGGAGACGGAACAGTGAACAGGACGGGGTACGAGGGGAACGCGGGGGATGGGGAGCGCGAGGGCGACGGTAAGCCAGAGGATTAGAGAAGACCGAAGGAAGAGATGAAGGGGCGACCAGCGGGGCTCACGACCCAAAGGATGAATGGAGGGATGTAGGGACGCAAGGCTCGGGGGTGGGGATAGAGGGAGATGGAAGGATGCAGGGACGGAAGGGTGGATGGGGGTTCGTGCGAAAGCGGGGGCAGGGAAGGTGACGGGAAGGAAAAGGAGAAAAGCTATGGGGGAGATTCCAGGAGAGCGAAAGTGTGGAAGTAGGCTAACGACCGAAGAGTCGAACCTATTCTGCTTCCCGTAGGTAGAGGAATGCAAGGGAGAAGGTCGCGAGTCTTTTTTTCCCATGCGCCGCGGAAGGAGCGGCGCGGCACCTAGTGCCAATACCTGAGCCGAGACGACAGCGGTAGATAAGGATATAATGATGAAATGAGCGGATTTCACACGCACCCCGCCCCGAATCCCGGGGCTCGGAACAGAGGTGTGAATTCCACTCAAAACACCGCCATGTCCACCGCACCTCCAAACGAGGCCGTCTCGGCTAGGAAGGAGAGGCAGGAGAAGCAACACCGCCACGCAGGGTACTTCGGGGAGTCTACCCGCCTTTAGCGGGCTCAGGTGGCACCCCCAAAACGCTCCGGCACTCCTGGGCGACTCCCCGTCACCACGGGTGACGAATCCGGGGGGCAAGGGAAACTAGAACAAATGGAAAACAGAGCCGCGTCGTCAGCAAGGACGCGGGCGTTTCCACCGGCGCACAAAGAGTCGTGCGCAAAGTTGCTGCAAAGTAAAAGCAAAGCGATCAAAGTTGCGATGACAACTGATCATGTAAAAAGACGTATCTCTCATGGGGATCTCCAGGCCCAAATTCAAATATGTATTACGATCGAAGTTGTTACGACAACTTGTCGAAAAGGTTACGCGCGATCGAAGCTGCTACGACAACTGATCAAACAAGTAATGGTAAAGCGTATGGCGCGAGGCATTCCAGGCCTCAAAAAAGTGCGATTATCATCCACAATAACAGCAAATATGTGAAGCGCTATGAGAATAAGAATCATAAGAATCATGTTTTGCATAGGTCGCACTCTGTGCTGCCGGCTTCCAATGGAAAAGGAACCTGAAATGTACGATATGAGAAGACTCGCGACGGGCGACCTGCACGGAGGGTTCATGCCCTTGATGTCGCAAAGCAACTCATGTATTAATAGCGGGCGACCTGCCAGGGTGCGTTTATGCCCATAATGCCATAATACACTTAACGACATAGTGTGAGAAGACATGCAGTCTGAAACGCGTGGGTACTTAATGCCACATGAAGAGAAAGAATATACGAAACGATATCAGACAAATGTAACTCAAATCAACGAAACCCGTGGAAATCGTAGTCGGCGTCATCCCAAACGCGATTACCGCGATCGCCAAACTGGCCAATCGCACGCGCAGTGTTCGGGCAAATTCAAATGCACTCGCAATCGTTCTCGCCAACGTAGATCCAATCGCGCAAGTAGCACGACCAATAATGGAAGCGTTGTTTTAGCAGTTCTCAAGGCGGTCGCGCCACCGCGCAGGCGCGCGGCGCTTCTCGCGCGGCACTGCGGCTGCGCTCCGGGTGGAGAGGTGCAGCCTTGCTGGTCGTGGCCATCTCCTGCGGCCTCCGCGCTGGTGTCCTCGGCCGCCGCGGCGGCGTCCGCGGCCGCTTTGCGCTCGGCGCAATCGGGGCGGCAACCGCAGCGGCTCCGCCAGTCCAGCCAGCGTCGCCAGGGGCAGGGCCGCCAGATGGCGCCGCGCCTGCGGAGGAGGCGGCGCCCGCGCCGAGCCCATCGCGGCGCGGAGGTGGAGGCGCAGGAGGCGGGGCAGGGCGCGGGTCGGCGATAGGAGCAGACCCTTCACCGGCACGATTGCCCCCCTTGCCCTTCTGGGCTTCGCCCTTCGGGGCATCCGCCCTGAGTTCCGCGAGCGTCGCGCGGCCCATGGAGCCCGATCTCTTCCCAGAGGGGGCGGGAAGGGTCACGAACCCTCCCTCGCAGCGCCCAAAGCGGCCCATCGCGCCGGGGGCCTTGGTCTCGCGCCAAGCGCATCCTTCCGCCGCGCTCCGGGCGTGCAGCTGCGCGGCGCGCCGCGCGCCCTCAAGGGTGACAGGTTCGAGGCTGCGCTCAATCCTGAGGCGAGCCATCTGCCCCGCAAAGACAAGGCACTCGTGGAAGCGAAGGGCGACGATCGCATAGGGACGATACAAATTGCCTTCGACATCATCTGGGTTCACAGCGGCGCCTGCCACGAAGCGCTGTCGGGCCGCAGGTGATCCCTGCTCAAGCCGAATTTCGGCTTCAGCGGCAGGCTTCCGATGGTAGCCTCTCCCCCTCGCAGCGTGGGATCGCTGGCCCGCAATCCGGATGGAGACGTCTTCGCGCGCGATGCGCTGCACGACCTCACAGTTCAGGTTGTCACGGATGGAGCTATTGACGCCAGCGACGAACGAATGCAACCAGAGCCTCGCCGATATCGCCGCGCGCGAAAGAGGTCGCGCACATCTTGCAAGCGCGGTCGCTATAGTCATTGGGGGGGTCGCGGAAACATTTGTCACAGTGCCGCTTTTCCGTCTGAATATCACTTGCACCATCCTGGATGGGTATCCCAATGCGTCCGCGGGCGTTTCCACCGGGGCTCAAAGAACGTCCGAGATCGCAAAGAGCCCGATTGGGGATCGAAAAAGCGCTATCGGTGGCAAGATCGGACGAAACAGACTCCAGTCAGCTGGTCGGGAAGACCACCTGCCGATATATTTCCGCAAGACGGGCGTGCTGAGGCCGCGCCAGGATGCTCGGCGATGATCCGTTTGCCCTTTCGATGAGCACAGCTTCCTTCTCCGCCTTCTCGTCGTCCACCAGGCACTAGTCGGAGTCGGTTCGGAGGACCTCGACGATCCGTTCGTGGGCGGGGGAAGCGTCAGAAGCAAAGCTGCCTGGGTCAAGAGCGGGGCCCGGGAGTTCAGGGGAGCGCGGAGAACCATCGGCGTGAGCCTCAGAAATGCGAGGTTCGAGTCGCAGTGCATCGGCGGCATCCGCGTCGGTCTGGTCGCCCATGGGGAAGTCGGAGTGCAAGTGGCCCCGGAATGCATCATCGAACGCCACCGTGGCTTCCCAGAGCTTTCGTGAACTAAGCAGCCCTGGACGACTACGGTGAATATCGACACTGGGCGTCTCATCCAAGCGTTCAGTAGCTGTGGTCGAGACGGCCGCATATGGTGGATATCCAACGAAACGAACTGCACTCGCCATCGTACTTGTATTCCAAGTTCCAAATCAGATTTTGTAGAAAGCGGATCTGATTACCAAGGTCTGGCAACTGAATGGCCCATGGGCTGCGGTGATCAAACTCCATATTGAAATATTACATCGCTGTGATGAACCGAAAATTGATGTCGATATATTTCTCGAAAGCGTGCTTGTTTCATCCACCTAGGTGACTGTGGCGTGCTGCTTGGCTTCGCATAACAACGCGTTCAATAATGATTGGGACTTCCAAATGCAGACTATGCATCGTGTCTGCCTGAAGCACGCCCGCTGCTGCAGGGTCGTTAAGCAGGGCTCCAGGTGGATCAATGATCGGGGCAACGGTCATGGTCCTCTTCTCGTCTGCTTGGACAGCCCGATCGTCGCCGCGGTCCGCTTCCGCGGGGTCATTGTCGCGAGTCGCGGGTGTTTCCACCGGCGCATCATCGACTGCGTCGCCGACGGAGGCACCTAAATGCTCGCCCATGTCGTCGATGCCCTGACAGGGTGTTTTATTATATGTGTTGTTGCTGCATGCTGCAACTGTAGTCGCTGCATAAATTCCCCCACTTGAAAGCATGTCCATCTGGCCTGAGAGCACGAATGACCAAGAGCCCGAAGTCCTTTGTAGCAGTGGAGCCCAACCAATCTCGCTGAACATTGTCTTGAGGTAACGCCCAGACGCAAATGCCGACCATCTCGGCGAGGGGCGGCCCGGCCATCCTTGAAAATGTCGCCACATCCAAAACTGCCAGCATCTTGGCCCGGAGGCACGTCACTTGCGCGGGGCCTGCTGGGTTCCCATGACTGCCAACTTGGGGCAAAAGTGCGCAATTTCATCATCGAAACAAGCGTGCCATCAGCTGCGGGCGTTCCCACCGGCACTGGCAGCGACTCAGGTCCACCGAAGCCTCCACGCGCAGTCACACATGATGATGCTTTCGTCTCGAACTTGTGGGCATCTGTCAGGTTGTGGAAGACGCGGCAGCGGGTCTTCTGCAGTGCCTCGGCAATCCTACCGATGTGGCCCGCCAGATCGGCAACCGAAGAATCTTCCATATGCTACTGCCCATGTTGTTGCACACCTCCTTCGGAGGACACTTGATACCCTCTGTGTCGAACGAGGGCGCGTTGTGGAGCAGGAACTCGGGGCACTGCTGAAGGGAGTTAGCGATGGCGGAGTCCTTCAGATAGAGCCCTGTGAATGAGAGCCATACGAACATGACGGGAAGCCACGGCGACGCCGCGGGCGGAGACGGGGTTGGATTACGACTGCCGCCCAGGATCTCACATACCACACGCACCGCATGATGGGTGGTGGTGATGAGGCCCTGTTTGCTGGAACGGAGCGTGCATTGTCCACTTCCATCGGGGAGCCGTTCGCGGTAAAGGAGGGAATGCAAAGGAGAATCCGCCAGTGAACGACGGCCTGCCACTTGTGGAAAGAACGCAGGACCCACGCGGACGTTGCCATCGACGCCAACATGGATGCAACCTCCGATCTGCATGCCGTGCAGCTCAATCGAGGGTTCGGCCATGACGGTCCAAGGTCGGTCGGGGCTGCTCCTATCGCCTGGATGGGGGTCAGAGAGCGCGCGCGTTTGAGAAT